CCACTAGGTAGGATCTAACATGTATCCTACCCCGTGCTCGGTCGGATTCGGTTCGGCTGGCCCTCCAACAGCTCTCTAGGCATCTTTTCCGACGTTTCATCTCTCTCAGCTCCTCGGTAAACCAGGGAGCCAATCGAGATCTACATCGGGTCAGAGGCCGCAAAGGCACGACTCGGTCCAATGCTGCGGCGGCAGTTGTTTCCCAAGCCGCCGCCTGATTTTCCGCCGAGTCGTGGACCAGATCCTCCGGATATGGCCCAAGCTCCGTCAGGAACCTCTCAGGGTCCATCAGTCGCCTGGGACGGAACCATCTAAGCGGTTCCGTCTCCCTGCGGCGAGGGGGAGCGGTCCGGAAGTCCATCCTTAGGAGAGAATGATCTGACCATGACAAGGGCTCCACCCGTCTTAAAGGGGCCAGGGTTGGACACGTCTGCCCCACCCTTTTCAGGGAAGGGAAGTTTGACCAAATGCCTCAACCTCTACCGGGTTTCGACCATGGACGTTTCCCCTTGACCCCTGACCTGGAGTGGGGGATTCTGGGAGTTGAAGTCCATCGGTCTTAAAGGGGCCACGGTTGGACATGTGTACCCCATCCTTTTCAGGGAAGGGAAGTTTGACCAAATGCCTCAACCTCTACTGGGTTTCAACCATGGTCGTTTCCCCTTGACCCCTGACCTGGAGTGGGGGATTCTGGGAGTTGAAGTCCATCGGTCTTAAACGGGCCACGGTTGGACACGTCTGCCCCACCCTTTTCAGGGAAGGGAAGTTTGACCGAATGCCTCAACCTCTACCGGGTTTCGACCATGGTGGTTTCCCTTTGACCCCCGACCTGGTTGGGGGATTCTGGGAGTTGAAGTCCATCGGTCTTCAAGGGGCCACAGTTGGACACGTCTGCCCCACCCTTTTCAGGGAAGGGAAGTTTGACCAGATGCCTCCCCATCCACCGGGTTTCGACCCCGGCGGGCTCCCTTTGACCCTTGTTTTCCGTGGCCTCTGGAATCCCACCACTTCCTGTCCGTTCTTGCATCTGACCACGGTGTCTATGGTGCTAACTCTCTTCCCTTCTTTTTTTGTTTTCCCGTCTGCTTTCAGAATCACGCCTTCATCAAGCGTGCCGAGGTGGAAGAGGTGGATTTTGCCGGCTGGCTATGCAAGACGCTGCGGTTGAAGCAGCCCAGCACTCCCACCCGCACGGCCATGTGACCGCCCACGCCAGCTGCCTTGTCCTTCCTCCCTCCCTCCTCCTCCTCCTCCTCCTCTCTCTCTCGTGCACCTGCTTGTCTGCTGCTGTTCGCTGCCCTCCCGGCAGAAGAAGGAAGAAGGCCCATCGGCCGGGCCTTGCCTCTCCTCCCTCGCTCTTTGCACCCGGAACAGCCAGGCAGGGGGGGGTTTTCAAGAAAGGGGCTCTCCCTTCCTCCCCCCCTCTCCCCCCCCCTCTCTCTTTCTTGTGTGGCCCGAGAGCAGAATGGCGCCTTGGCTTCCTCCTCCTGTTCTTGTTCTTGAGTTTGGTTTCGTTTCTCTTCCTGTGGTGGGAGAATCCCTCGCTCTCGACTTTGGGTGGGTAGGGCTGGCTGAGACGGGCCTGGCTGCCGTTTGGTTTGGGGGAGGACAGGAGGAAAGAGCTTCCAGGATAGGCTGACTGCGTCTCTCTCTCTCTCTCTTTCCCTTCCTTCCTTCCTTCTCTTTCTCTCTCTGTCTCTCTTTCCCTTCCTTTCTTCCTTCCTTCCTTCCTACCTTCTCTTTCTCTCTCTCTTTCCCTTCCTTCCTTCCCACCTATCTTCTCTTTCTATCTCTCTCTCTTTCCCTTCCTGTGTCTCTTTCCCTTTTTCTTTCTTTCTTTTCTTTCTTTCTTTCTTTCTTTCTCTCTCTTCCTCTTCCTTTCTTTTTTCTGTCTATTTTTGGACAACCATTTGTCTGAAATGGTATAGGGTTTCCTACCCGAGTGGAGGGTTGAACTAGATGACCTCTAGAGATCTTTTCCAATTCTGTTTTCTTTCTCTCTCTCTCTCTCTTCCCTCTCTGTCTTTATCTTTTCTCTTTCCCTCTCTTCCTCTCTCTTTCTCCCTTCCCTTCCCCATCTATTTACTTCCTTCCCTTCCCTTTCTCCTGATGTCTTCCTTCCCTTCCCCATCTATTTACTTCCCCATCTATTTACTCCCTTCCCTTCCCCATCTATTCACTTCCTTTCCTTTCCCTCCCTTTCTGTCTCTCTTTCTCCTTTTTGTGTGGGTGAATCGAAGGACGGGCTCCTGCGGATGGTCAGAGACCTCACTGCCCGCAGGAGCCAAGATGAAGGGGGACAAGATTACCCAATCAGGGCTTTGTGGTTGCCTCTTGGACCCATGGCACAGGAGTGGGATGGAAGGCCCCGGCCTGTTGACTTCCTGGAAGCTTTTTGGGAGCAGATAGCACAAGAGATGGCCCGGTTTAGGTTAAGGAAACGTGTCTCTGGCCAGGCTCTCGGCTCCTTCACGGGGCCATCCTCTCTTTCTTCTTACCCTCTCGCCTGCCTGTGGTTTTTTTTTCCCTGGGACCTTTGCCCTTCCTTTGATGGGGAGGGGGCAGGAACTGGGGCCTGGGGGGTCGGGAAGCGGGCAGGGCGTCTCCCGTCTCTGCCTTCGGACTTGGCACCCCGGAAGGACCTCCTCCGTCCAGGCTTCGGTGACGACGATGACGACTCCGAAGCCCTTGCAGAAGAAGGCTGGCTGTTAGGGAGCGAGGAGGGGGACCCCTCGGAGGATGGCTTCAGGCCCCGGTGGGCAGAAAAGCTGTCGGTTCGTGCTTCTGCGGCGGTTGTAAGTGCGAGGACTGGGCGCAAGTCCCTGTTTTCAGGGCCGTGAATGCCGGCTAAACGCCTCCGGCCTTGACCGTCCCCTTCTCTCTCTCTCTCTCTCTCTCTCTCTCTCTGGTGTTTTGTTATCTAGGGCTGCTGCTTGGATACAGTCTCGTTTCCCCGCAAGGCTCGCCCGGCTTCTGTTTTCCTCGCTTTGGGCTCTGGCGCTTCTGCCCCGCTGTCCCAGGAGGCTGCAGGGCCGTCCTGGCAGTGGGGCTGCACACCTGCGGCTCTTCTGGCCTCCCCTGGCTCAGAGGAGGGGCAGCCACGGAGGAGGAGGAGGAGGAGGAGAGTTGCTAGAAGTTTCATTGGCTGGGCCATGATGGGGGGGGGCTCTGTCTTCAGCCCCCTTGCCTCAGCCCTCTCCGGTCCTTCCTTCTTTCCATCCATCCATCCATCTTTTTCTTTCTCTCTCCTTCCATTTCCTTCCTCTCATCTTTTATCCATCTTACCCATCTTTCTTTCCTTCCTGTTTTTCCATCTTTCTCCTTCCTTCCTTCTTCTCATTCCCATCTTCTTCTCATTCCCATCGCCTTATTCCCATCTTCTCTCTCCCATTCCCATCTTCTTTTCCTTCCTGTTTTTCCATCTTTCTTCTTTCTCCTTCCTTCTTCTCATTCCCATCTTCGTTCCTTCTCATTCCCATCTTCTCCCTCCCTCCCTCCCTCCCATTCCCATCTTCCTTTCCTTCTCATTCCCATCCCTTCCTTCCTCCCTCTCATTTCCATCTTCCTTCTTCCCTTTCTCTCGCTCCCCTCCCTCCCTCCCTTCCTACCTACTTTCCTTCCTTCTTCCCTTTCTCTCCCCTTCTCTCTACCATGCCTTCTTTCCCCTCTTTCCTTTCTCTCTCCTTTCTCTCTCCTTCCCTTTTCACCTTATCTTTCTTTCTTTTGTTGACCTCTTTATCCCTATCTTAAAATTTCCATATGGGCCAAACGCACGCTTTGAATTGCCAGGGTGGACACGTTGGTCCCCCAAAAAACAGTTAAGAGTCCTGCAGGACCAAGAACCAGGAGGAATGACTTTAGATAGAACGCCCCACTCAGCGGTTGCCTCCTTGAAGGGGGTTGTGGCATTTTACCTCGCCCCTCCCCACCTGTGGCCCCTTGGAGATGATGCTCCTCTCCTTGACCCATCAGTGGCTTGACACCCCCCCCCCCGGTCAGGAGGAGACCCCAGCCAGAGCCGTCTCCGGTGTCCATCTAGCCAAGGCCCACCAACGCTGCTTGCCTAGCAAACCGGGAGCCCTGGTGCTTGCAGCCGGTTCCCACCTCAGAAATTCAAGCCCGCCGCTTGCTTGAACAAGCCACCTTATCATCTAGGTTGAATGTGGAGCGACCTCACCCGACCTCTTTGGCCATCATCCTAAAATGGCGGCGGCAGCAGCAGCAGCCCAGAAGTGCCGGGGGGGGGGGTGTGAATCCTCCCCAAGGCTCTGGAGCAAGAAACTCACACTAAAAAAAAAAAGTGTGAGTCTAACTGGCGGTTTTGTCCAGTCGGTCCGGCCGTCCGTCCGGTTCCAGCAGGGCTCCCTCCCACCCAGGTCCTTCAGAAGACCCCCTCAGAATATCCCGGCTCGCTCTTTTTTCCCCCCCAAATTCATAGCCAAACGGACGTCTCACATCGGTCCCCGTTGAATGTGGCTTGCATCTGCGGAAGGGAGGCTGGATCCCACAGCCAGAATTGAAGTTGGATAAAACAGA